GCGAGAAGAGAACCAGTTAGGAGACACGAAGAAGGAAAAAATAAGAAAAAAGTAGTAATGGGGGAAGTGGTGCGTGTCTTTCTGCAAATCTCTTCATTCACCTCTGCTCTCCTCCAGCTCAGTGTAGCCAAGGCCAGCCAAGAGACACTTCACCTCGCACCCGCACACACATGGAACCAGAGCCAACACACAGAAACATACACACTCCCAAAAACTGCACACTCCGTGTCTCCTTCTCTCTCCCTCCCCCTGTCAAGCATGTGCACATACACACATACACACATACACACATACACGCATACACACGCGCACCACAACGGGCACATGAATATTTAGCTAGCCACCCACTCACGAAAACAAAACTGTCAGGACACACACACGTGTGCGCACACACTCACACTCACTTGACACTGGATACATGCATATATATAAATATATATATATATATTCATCCATATTCTCTGTGTGCACCGACCCATCAAAACAGACACCAAAACAGTAAATAACATTACAGTGTAATCACTGTCCCTCTTTGTCTCTCTCCCTCCCTCTCTCTCTCTCTGCCTTTCACACACACACACACACACATGTTCACTCACTGTGGATAATGCTACACATATGCATCAAATCACTGCCTTCCACTTCCACACGATGGTAAGAAGAAATGCATATGCACCACATATGCTGCATGGAGCCTGTCTATAATTCACCGTGTGTAAAACAGTTAGGTATGTACACACACACACACACACACACACATGAACGCACACACACACACACAGTGCTGTAGACCTATCAGTGTGCTAATAGGCAGATTAGCAGTGTCTGTGATCTGCAGTGAGAAGGATAATATCAAGCCCGTTCCTCCAGTCAGACAAAACAAAGTCCAACATGTTATTCCATAAATGTCTGTCACCATGGCCTCACAGCCAATAGCATTCACTCTCAACTCTAACATAAACAGACAAGACTTTCTGGCTCATTTGGAAACATGTGAAATCATGGGGGGAATAAAGTGAGCCAGTATGAGTGTAGCATGATGAAGGAAATGTCCCAACGCCAGACGACAAAACGTTCAAATGAAAACCACTTCAACGCAAATAAAAGTAATTGGAAGAGACTCCAGGAAATGAAAGATGTTCAGTTTGAAAAAAAAAAAAGACCTTCAACTGAACTGAGGAACAGAGAACAACCTGAAGTGTGTCAGAAATATTTCTACACAAGAAAAATAAAATAATATTAATAATTTTTTTTTATCCACAGCTCTTGATGAATTCTATATTTTTAAAATGCCTTAAATTCAAATTTATGGAAGTTTGCAGGTTTTGATTTAGATTTTATATTTTATTTTTTTATTTGACTGTTTAAGGAAAGCCGTGCACTCCTGTGATTGATGTAAATGCACGCGTGTTTTTTTATCAAACTGAACCGGTACAATTATATAGAATACAATTGCTTGAAATGGTCGAGAAAGTGTCAGAAATGTATTTCTCATTTCTGCAGCTTTGTAAACGCCATCGTCGGTGTGAGGTGTTTGACAAGAGCAGCACTGAGAGCAGACTGAAGCTGTGAAGCCACTGTACCTCTTCAAGATCTCGGCCCATAGTCGACCTGTCGCACTTCAAAGGAAGTCGCGTTACAGCAGCCTTGCAAAAAGAAAAGGAAGAGGCTGTTTTAGAGTCTGAACACATCCACTGATTATTATTATTATTATTATTATTATTGTTTCTGTCTCAGCTCTGCTCCTGAACCTGGGTGGCATCATCGGATCCTGCGGTTGGTAGAGCTTGGGGCCCGGTTTTTTTTTTTTTTTTTTTTTACGAGCTCCTCTTAACCCCTGAGTGGTTCCCACATTCCTCCGCAGATGAGGAGAGGAAAAAGTCGCGGCCTGCGGCTCCTGTATTGTGTACAAGGATAATTCCTGATGTAGCAATTAGGCTGGTACAGTCTGGTCTAACGGAGGGGTTTTTAACTTGCAGGGGTCGATATTCATGGCCATGCATGTAGACTGTACTGGATGCAGCAGCGGCTGAATTAAGGCTGCGATTATTATGGCTGCGTTAAATGGCTGGGAAACAATTCAGCTGCTAATTAATGTTTGTTTGTTTATTTGTTTCTCTCACCCTCCCGCATTCTCTCTTTCTGATCACCGCAGTACAAACTTCTCCTTCTATCGTGCTGTTCTACCAAAGACGCGCAGATGTTTCTGGAAATTAAGATCCAGAAGAAAATATGTGTCGTTTCTGCTGTACAGTTCCACTGATTTCTTTTAAATTGCACGTTCTTTTTATGTTGATGACAGCGGTGTGGACTGTGAGGAGTGTAAATCCTCCGCTGTGTGCGGTATATCTCAGAGTGAAAGTACATTAAAGGCCGGCTTTTTAGACAAGACTGTGGATAAATCTCTACCAAAAAAAAAAACCTCATTGGTCAATTTTGTTTAAATTTCGTTTAGTAAAATAAAAGTAAAGAAATATGAAACGATAGAAGGAGAGCGCACGTGGAATTATCCAATAGACGTAATTTAATTGTTTTTCATTGTTTTAATGTAAAAAATATTTTAAAACATATTGATGTTTTTTTTATTTAATTGCCTATTTTTTGTATTTTTTATCTTTCTCTTCTTTATTTCTGTGATGATTTAAAAATAAGAAAATTCTCAAAGAGCACTTGAATCACAAAATAAATAAATAAATAAATAACAAGTGAAACCGAGACATTTTGAAGAGAAATGTGATTTGAATTTGAGCTGGTTTTCAGTTAAATCGTGCGAATATATATTTTGAAGAAAGCATCGCTGTCACCAGGTTAATGTTATAATAATAATATTGTAGAAAAATGTTCTGTTTAAAAACCATCCCTTACTTTACAGTCAGTCATCGATCAGTAAGACTGAGATCGGCAGATATTTCACGCCTGACCTCTGTCTTAATTTAAAATAGAAACAAACTCTGTCGACGTCATAAATTTGCTCACTTTAAAAACTCCTAACACGTGTGTGTTATTTTCGAAAAGCAAAAAAAAAAAAAAATTTTAAAGCACTTCCAAATGTTGTGTCTTTGAGATGCCCTCTTCCTCCTCCTCCTCCTCCTCCTCACCACAGCTGCGGGTGTGTGCGCACCAGGGCGCAGAGCTGCTTTGCGTCTCCATCGATCAGGAGGAAATATAATTTGGCTTTAACAACAATAAAATACCGCATCCCTGGTGCCATCCTGTTGATCTTTAAGGTAAAAGATGTGGCTATTTTGAAAGGCAAGCCCCTAACCTATTTTTCCTCTCCCCCTCTCTCCTCCAACACCCCAGGGTGCGCCAGCCTCGGCAAACACAAAGTCATTATCGCTTAGATTCCAATAAGGCGAGTCTGTCAAGGAACGCGCTTCCTTCGGAGAATTTATGTCATGCCTACTAAACACGCAGAGAGTGGCGCGAGCAGGGATAAATAAGAGCGAGTCCACAGCTGATTAGAGTTAAACAACGGAGCGCCTTTGTAAAAAAGGAACGCGGGTGTAATGGTGGGTCCCAGCGGATGCTGAGCGCTGGGCCCACGTGCGTCCACCTGCCTGAGCACAGGAGTGACGTGATCACCCGTCTCAATCAATACACTTTTAATTCAACTTTTTGTTTTATGTCAGAAGACTGGAAAAAACGTATTTTTATGACCACGGTAGAAGCAGAGTTTTGCAAACTCAATTTTTGTTTTTTTGTGAAAAGAAATACAGAAAATGTAGGAGCAGCAGAGGCAGAAAAATGACATCATGAAACAAGCCCGGGGCTGAAATAAAAATAAAAATAAAGAGTTCAAAAGTGACTACAGTTTAGGCTGTGAGCTGCGGACAAGGTGACAGAGTCATTTGGCGCCGCTCACAAACACAGATAGACGGAGAAGCTGTTGCACAAGAGCCGCTGTGGCCCGGCTGTGGCCCGGCTGTGTACCAGCGTGTTCACGGTACAGAGAGCCCGCAGCTCCCGCTATGATTAACTGCACTTCAACCATCTTCTATCTGTACTCTCTCCCACACACGGCCGTGCACGCGCGCACACGCACAAATTTACCCACACAAAACATACACACACACGTTCAAACACACTCTCACACCGGCACAAAACTGGACTCGAACTTCCCCTCCGTTAATATCCAACATCAACGTTCAACTCGGCGTCCTTTAAATATCTTTCTTTTTAAAAAATAAATGTTTTTTTCTTTTTCTTTTTTTTTTTTTAAAGCATCACACACACTATTATGGTAAGGTAACTATGGCTGTCCCTCTGTCCGTTATCAGCTGCACTTTTCCAGAGGAGCCAGCGGTGTTAACTCGCGGCTCCTCTGCTCTTCTGCAGCCGCGCTAGAGGCTTCCTGCCACGGCCACATGAAGTCAATTAGCCGGTCCCACTGGGGAGCCCCTTCCCGGGACTTTATCTGCACCGAGGTTATCAAAACACGGCTGTTGCCTGCTTTAAAACTCCAACACGGGCTCTTACACCAATTACGGAGACTTAAGCGTGTAAGCATCCAGTCCAGACAGGGATAATTCATCAAGTTGTAAATTCTAGTTATTTATATCAGACTGAGGTCATAATTTCCCCAGGAAAGTGTTGTGTTTTTTATATCTAATGACACATGCTTGATTTTTTTTTCTTAATTTTTTTTAAGAAGACAAAAATACGGAAAGGTTTAAAAGACAAGCACAAGAGTACGTTTAAAAATAAAGAAAAATAATCTGGACACAGAGACAGCTAAGGTAACGTGAACAAACTGATGCTCCACACACAGACAAGCGCATGACACACTAAAAAAATAAAAATAAAAATAAAAACAACAAACACCACAACAGAGAAAATGAAAAGTTTGTTTCCTGGATGCAGACCACAACAGAGAGAATGAAAAGTTTGTTTCCTGGATGCAGACCAGAAAAGAACGCGGGGAGAGGAAGACGGAAGGCTCGATGTGGAGTGAGGGGTGAGTGAGGGGTGAGTGAGTGCTGCTGCTGAGCTGGACGTACCTGCTGGGACATTCTGTAGAGGAGGTTGCTGTCAGTGCTCTGCTGCTGCCATGTCCCCATGAAGCCTGGCTGCTCAGCACTTGGAGGTCTTGTGCTGAACTGCATGGAGCTTTCGCCTGCTCCCTCAGCGCTGCTCCTAATGATGCTAATGCCACCCAGACCACTGCTGCTGCTGCGGCTGCTGCTGCTGCTGCTGCTGCTGCTGTGGATGCTCTGGAGGATGACAGCCGAGCCTTTGGGTCTGTCAGCGGTGTCCGGAGGTGACCTAGGCAGCTCTGGGTCCGTGCTGGGCTCTGGCGGGACTGTGTCGCTGCACTCACTGCCTCTCACATCCAACCCTGCCTCTTTGGACTGGGACAGAGAGAAAGAGAGAAAGAGAGAGAGAGAGGGAGAGACAGAGGGGGAGGGCGGGAGGGATGTGGGAATGTGAAGGAGGAGAGAGAAGGGGGGAAAAGTCAGTAAAGGTGGGTTCTTTTGGGGTCGTGTTGCCTTTTTTGTTTTTGTTTTTTTTTTCCTCAGTGAGGACAGAAGAGAGTGATGAGATGATGGACAAGGTGTGTGTGTGTGTGTGTGTTCTTGGCAAGGATGATGCTGTAAAGTGTAAAGTGTGTGGAGGTAAATCTCATAAAGAGAGAGAAAACATGGCGTGTGGGTTTTTTAGGGGGGCCTTATCCTGGACAAGGTGGGATGAGGAGAAGGATGGAGGTGAGGAGGTGGTGTGATGGTGAGGAGGTGAGGAAGAATGGGGAAAATGTTGGTTTTTTAACTGGTGAGGACAGTTACTGATGTGTTCACGGCCTTTTAGGGTTTTTTGGGTTTTTGGTCACATGGTCAACACACTGGGATGAAAACACAAAATCAAACACATGTTCATCCGCTCGCATGCACACACACACACACACAGCGGACCGGTGATAAAAGATTGTGCTAAAAGTTAGTAAACTTGTCCCTGAACACATGCTGACAGAAGGAGTCAACGACAGACGTCAACCCTGCGACTGTCTTCTCTCACTTGAAAACTTTAACCTAATATTTAAACCGTCCACTACACCGCAGAACTGAAGGCACGGGATATCACATCAACGCACGGCCAAACTAAAGAACATGGTTTTATTTTTATTTTTATTTTTAAAAAGGAGAATTTACGCAAACCCAGTGCCGTAAACAGAGGCTGTATTTACCGCAGACAGACGAGCGCAGAAAGACATGAACGTCTCTTACCATCAATTCTGTGTCCCAGCAAAGTGAAGATGAGATGTGGGAGTGAGCCACCAGATATCCAGCTCTCTGCCTACTGCTCCTCTGTCTCTCCCTCTCCCTCCCTCTCTCTACCTCTCTCTCTCTCTCACTCTACCTCGCTCTCTCCTTATCTCTCTCTCTCCTTGTTTGATTGTGTCCTTCTGTTGACGTCCGTGCCGCCGCCTGTCCTCTCTCTTTTACTTCTTTCTGTGCGCTCTTCCTTTCAGTCTCCCCCTCTCTCTCTCTCTCTCTCTCTCTCTCGCTCTCTCTCTCCCTCTGACCACTCTCAGTACTCCACCGCAGCTGCTGAGGAACTGAACTCCCAGCCTGAGCGCAATGTTCGTGTGTAATGTGTGTGCGTAAGGGCCGGAGTGCGACAACGTCTCGCTGCACACACACGTACACACACATAGGGAGAGAGAGAGAGAGAGAGAGAGAGATGCAGACACTTCGTGTGTGCACAAAGGGGGAGGGGGTGATGGGGGAGTGTTTCCTCATTACAACCAGCAACTTCTCCAGTGGGACCTTCTCGCCACACGCAAAAAATACACACATTCAAATCCACGCGGTGTCTATTAGGTTAGCGGCTCCCGAAGACTTGGTGGGTCGGGGCCCACAGATGGATCGTGGGAGGATGTTTTCGGTTTTGCAAGAAATTAAAAGTAAATCAAAGTAAAGATGCTTCGTCAGAATGACCAATTTTCTTCTTTTCCTTAGAAACTGTGATCAAAGTGGTCTGGTCTGGTCGGGTGTAATGTGAGGCACTGCAGCCCATTACTCAGGATCCGGGAAGGATAGGACAGAAGACATTCCCAGAGAATGGGTTGGACAACATTGATTGTCAAATATATTAGTCCTGCTTTTATCTTGAAAAACAGACATGAAACACTATATTTATCTTCAACTTGATTGACAGGTGTCAAATGATCAGTTAAAGACTGATTGAAAAATATTTTTATATTTATTTTAGATAATGAATGGATGGAGGAACTCAGTGCTAAATAAACAGATCCTCTGTTTCTGAAGTTAGCGA